CTATCTTCTACCACCTATAGAAACCATCATAAGCATTGAATGGGCTTGCCATTTAATTATAACATGTGTAGAAGTCTAAATAACATACTCCATAAAAATAATCAAAATTTATCGAGCGAAATTTGAAATATAATTTTTTTCTTCTGAAAAATCGGTAGCTCAGTAAGGAGCAGGACTATCTTCTACCAACTATAGAAACCATCATAAGCATTGAATGGGCTTGCCATTTACGTATGACATGTGTATACGTCTAAATAACATACTCCATAAAAATAATCAAAATTTATCGAGCGAAATTTGAAATATAATTTTTTTCTTCTGAAAAATCGGTAGCTCAGTAAGGAGCAGGACTATCTTCTACCAACTATAGAAACCATCATAAGCATTGAATGGGCTTGCCATTTACGTATGACATGTGTATACGTCTAAATAACATACTCCATAAAAATAATGAAAATTTATCGAGCGAAATTTGAAATATAATTTTTTTATCTGAAAAAAACCGTAGCCCAGTAAGGAGCAGGCCTATCTTCTACCACCTATAGAAACCATCATAAGCATTGAATGGGCTTGCCATTTAATTATAACATGTGTAGAAGTCTAAATAACATACTCCATAAAAATAATCAAAATTTATCGAGCGAAATTTGAAATATAATTTTTTTCTTCTGAAAAATCGGTAGCTCAGTAAGGAGCAGGACTATCTTCTACCACCTATACAAACCATCATAAGCATTGAATGGGCTTGCCATTTAATTATGTCACGTGTATACTTGTAAATAAGATACTCCATAAAAACAATCAAAATTTATCGAGCCAAATTTAAAATATGATTTTTTTCTTCTGAAAAATCGGTAGCTCAGTAAGGAGCAGGACTATATTCTACCAACTATAGAAACCATCATAAGCATTGAATGGGCTTGCCATTTACGTATGGCATGTGTATACGTCTAAATAACATACTCCATAAAAATAATCAAAATTTATCGAGCGAAATTTGAAATATAATTTTTTTCTTCTGAAAAAACCGTAGCCCAGTAAGGAGCAGGCCTATCTTCTACCACCTATAGAAACCATCATAAGCTTTGAATGGGCTTGCCATTTAATTATGTCACGTGTATACTTGTAAATAACATACTCCATAAAAATAATCAAAATTTATCGAGCGAAATTTGAAATATAATTTTTTTCTTCTGAAAAATCGGTAGGTCAGTAAGGAGCAGGACTATCTTCTACCAACTATAGAAACCATCATAAGCATTGAATGGGCTTGCCATTTACGTATGACATGTGTATACGTCTAAATAACATACTCCATAAAAATAATCAAAATTTATCGAGCGAAATTTGAAATATAATTTTTTTCTTCTGAAAAATCGGTAGCTCAGTAAGGAGCAGGACTATCTACTACCAACTATAGAAACCATCATAAGCATTGAATGGGCTTGCCATTTACGTATGACATGTGTATACGTCTAAATAACATACTCCATAAAAATAATGAAAATTTATCGAGCGAAATTTGAAATATAATTTTTTTATCTGAAAAAAACCGTAGCCCAGTAAGGAGCAGGCCTATCTTCTACCACCTATAGAAACCATCATAAGCATTGAATGGGCTTGCCATTTAATTATAACATGTGTAGAAGTCTAAATAACATACTCCATAAAAATAATCAAAATTTATCGAGCGAAATTTGAAATATAATTTTTTTCTTCTGAAAAATCGGTAGCTCAGTAAGGAGCAGGACTATATTCTACCAACTATAGAAACCATCATAAGCATTGAATGGGCTTGCCATTTACGTATGACATGTGTATACGTCTAAATAACATACTCCATAAAAATAATGAAAATTTATCGAGCGAAATTTGAAATATAATTTTTTTATCTGAAAAAAACCGTAGCCCAGTAAGGAGCAGGCCTATCTTCTACCACCTATAGAAACCATCATAAGCATTGAATGGGCTTGCCATTTAATTATGTCACGTGTATACTTGTAAATAACATACTCCATAAAAATAATCAAAATTTATCGAGCCAAATTTGAAATATAATTTTTTTCTTCAGAAAAATCGGTAGCTCAGTAAGGAGCAGGACTATCTTCTACCAACTATAGAAACCATCATAAGCATTGAATGGGCTTGCCATTTATGTATGACATGTGTATACGTCTAAATAACATACTCCATAAAAATAATGAAAATTTATCGAGCCAAATTTGAAATATAATTTTTTTATCTGAAAAAAACCGTAGCCCAGTAAGGAGCAGGCCTATCTTTTACCACCTATAGAAACCATCATAAGCATTGAATGGGCTTGCCATTTAATTATGTCACGTGTATACTTGTAAATAACATACTCCATAAAAATAATCAAAATTTATCGAGCGAAATTTGAAATATAATTTTTTTCTTCTGAAAAATCGGTAGCTCAGTAAGGAGCAGGACTATCTTCTACCACCTATAGAAACCATCATAAGCATTGAATGGGCTTGCCATTTAATTATGTCACGTGTATACTTGTAAATAACATACTCCATAAAAATAATCAAAATTTATCGAGCGAAATTTGAAATATAATTTTTTTCTTCTGAAAAATCGGTAGCTCAGTAAGGAGCAGGACTATCTTCTACCAACTATAGAAACCATCATAAGCATTGAATGGGCTTGCCATTTACGTATGACATGTGTATACGTCTAAATAACATACTCCATAAAAATAATGAAAATTTATCGAGCGAAATTTGAAATATAATTTTTTTATCTGAAAAAAAACCGTAGCCCAGTAAGGAGCAGGCCTATCTTCTACCACCTATAGAAACCATCATAAGCATTGAATGGGCTTGCCATTTAATTATGTCACGTGTATACTTGTAAATAACATACTCCATAAAAATAATCAAAATTTATCGAGCGAAATTTGAAATATAATTTTTTTCTTCTGAAAAATCGGTAGCTCAGTAAGGAGCAGGACTATATTCTACCACCTATAGAAACCATCATAAGCATTGAATGGGCTTGCCATTTACGTATGACATGTGTATACGTCTAAATAACATACTCCATAAAAATAATGAAAATTTATCGAGCGAAATTTGAAATATAATTTTTTTATCTGAAAAAAACCGTAGCCCAGTAAGGAGCAGGCCTATCTTCTACCACCTATAGAAACCATCATAAGCATTGAATGGGCTTGCCATTTAATTATGTCACGTGTATACTTGTAAATAACATACTTCATAAAAATAATCAAAATTTATCGAGCGAAATTTGAAATATAATTTTTTTCTTCTGAAAAATCGGTAGCTCAGTAAGGAGCAGGACTATCTTCTACCACCTATAGAAACCATCATAAGCATTGAATGGGCTTGCCATTTACGTATGACATGTGTATACGTCTAAATAACATACTCCATAAAAATAATGAAAATTTATCGAGCGAAATTTGAAATATAATTTTTTTATCTGAAAAAAACGTAGCCCAGTAAGGAGCAGGCCTATCTTCTACCACCTATAGAAACCATCATAAGCATTGAATGGGCTTGCCATTTAATTATGTCACGTGTATACTTGTAAATAACATACTCCATAAAAATAATCAAAATTTATCGAGCGAAATTTGAAATATAATTTTTTTCTTCTGAAAAATCGGTAGCTCAGTAAGGAGCAGGACTATCTTCTACCACCTATAGAAACCATCATAAGCATTGAATGGGCTTGCCATTTACGTATGACATGTGTATACGTCTAAATAACATACTCCATAAAAATAATGAAAATTTATCGAGCCAAATTTGAAATATAATTTTTTTATCTGAAAAAAACCGTAGCCCAGTAAGGAGCAGGCCTATCTTCTACCACCTATAGAAACCATCATAAGCATTGAATGGGCTTGCCATTTAATTATGTCACGTGTATACTTGTAAATAACATACTCCATAAAAATAATCGAAATTTACCGAGCCAAATTTGAAATATAATTTTTTTTATGAAAATTTGGTAGCACAATAAGGTGCAGGCTTATCTTCTACCACCTATAGAAACCATCATAAGCATTGAATGGGCTTGCCATTTAATTATAACATGTATAGAAGTCTAAATAACATACTCCATAAAAATAATAAAAATTTATCGAGAGAAATTTGAAATATAATTTTTTTATCTGAAAAAAACGTAGCCCAGTAAGGAGCAGGCCTATCTTATACCACCTACAGTAACCATTATAAGCATCGAATGGGCTTGCCATTTTATTATGGCATGTATATACGTGTAAATAACATACTCCATGAAAATAATAAACATGAATCAAACCAGATTTGAAATAATACACTTTACTCATTCTGTTGATTGTACCAGTTGAAGCTGTTTTTATTTACTGTAACACTGTTACAATCTCGTACGTCGGGAGTATATTTCGTGATTCAATATTATGGTATAACAGTAACAGTGTTATATCATTATTTTTTTTCGTATGTGCCTCGGTTACATTTATTAATCAAATTAATTAAATTTAATATTAAAATAGGCTGAAAGGAATGTTTACATATCTTTGTTGCGAGTAATGCACTTTGAGGTTAGTGGTTCATAGAGTGATACAATGGAATAACAACAAGTGATATTAATGGTTATTGTACTTTATTTAGGCAACTCAGTTATATAAAAATGGTACATTAGTAAAACAAACACTTAAACACTGCTCAAAATATATGATTTCCACATTTTTCAGTGAAACATGCATTTGAGGTTAGGAAGTTCTGAAGCCACGGCCTTCTTGATCTGCTGATCTGACGTTGACGTCATAGCTTAATGTTGGTTTATTGGCAGTTTTACATCCATTTACTGCGGACTGTGACTGTGATAAGACTATTCAAACACCAACAGCAGTAATGTGAGTAAAGAGCTTTAGCTAATAAAATATAAGCTAGACAAAGAAATTTTTTTAATTTATTAGGCCTATGGCAAAAAAAAACTTGATGAAAAGATTTTTGCAATCTTACTTGTAGTGTATTCATTAGACTTTTGACTTTCTCCTCATTTACTTCTGGTGGAAATGGTCTTATTATTACATTCATTGGGACATCATGGACTTCTCCAATTTGATGGGAATGAATGCTGGTAACTTCTGTTGACATTGCTGAAACAAAAAAAAACACATTTTTCAATTTTGCAATGATACGGTTTTTAGAAAATAAAAGAGGTTCTGTTTCAAAATATATCTATATAAATAAAATTAGAGTTTTGTCTGTACATTGCTTAGAATAATGAACTTTTTGGTTATTTTTACATTTCATAGGTCAGAGAAACCGAATCAAACCTTATCTCAATTTCTGTCTGTCTGTCTGTCTGTCTGTCTGTCTGTCTATCTGTCATTCTCTTGGTAACGCTAAAATACGCACTTTATTACAACTACTCCTCAATAACTATAGCACTGTCCCGCCTGAAACTTATTTTCCAAATACTATACATATATGAGATGGTTTTAGACGTATTTCATCGAATATGAGACAGTTAGATATTTAACAGTAAACCCTTGAAAATCAAGTTTTTGTCGATTTTTGACGTGGAATTTCTGGAAGCCCATGTTAACCTTATGAGAAATGAAATTATTGAATCTTAACAGCTGTTTCAATTAAACAAGTTGGTTCTGTTCTGTGATGTTCAATAGCATTAAAGTTACAAGGATTACCAACAGGGTGCAGCACTAGCACTATTATTTCTTTTACATTTATGACAACAGCTAATTTGCAACCTGGAGGCGAGTGAGCGTAGCGAACGAGCTAACCTGAAGGCAAGTGAGCGTAGCGAACGAGCTAACCTGAAGGAAAGTGAGCGCAGCGAACGAGCTCCAACATACAGGTGAGTGAGCGTAGCGAACGAACTTCAACCAGGACGTGATTGAGCCATGCAAACGAGATCAGATAGTAAAAATAAAAGTAAGCCTACCGTTATAGGATCGACCGGCAGACACAGAGGTAATTTAACCTTTTATTGATTGTCATACCGATCCGGAACAACAAAAAACAACATAAAATGAAGCTATGTATAATAGTTTGGCCAGCATATCTTAAAATATGCAAACCAACTGCTGTTCTTTATATAAGAAGGTTTCAACTGAATATTATAAGATCCCCGTGCGTAGAACGGGTACACAGCTAGTCTATCTATATATACTTATTTAATATGCAGGCAGGTTTTTGGTGACAATTACTCCTCCGAAACTACTGAACCGATTGACATGTTTTTGGTGTGATTGGAAAGGGCGTAACATGAAGTTGTGCAGGAAACTTTCTTTTTAGGGAAATAATTAGAGAGTGAGGCCTGGTGGCCCTTTTAAGTTTTGTATTTCTCCATAAGATTAACATGGGAAACAAACATTGTTATTAAACTACAGCTGTTGTCAGAAATGCTGTTCTGCTATTTAATTTAATTTGTTTACCAGGAGAATTGTTTCTTGGTGCCATGTGGTCAATGAATTATACTTTTGCATATATTTTAAATAAATGCTATACACTATATAAAATGATAGTACTGTAATACATTAAGAGATCTTAATTTAATTAATCAATAAGCAGGATTGAGCTTTTTCCTATATGTTTCCTGATAAGTGTGTGTATCCTGTGGTAAGTGTGTTGTATCTGTTTCCCATAGAATATTATAGTATCTTAAAGTAAAACCGAATTTTTCTTTTCTGCATTCTCACCCCGTAGCGAAGCACGGGCAGAGCAACTAGTTCTAGATTAAATCCCATCACTGAGAATAAAAACAATGATGGGCCTTAGGTAGAACAGTTAGCAAAGACGTCACAGGTCGTTAAAACACTGGAAAATGTTGTGTTTAAACTAGGAACAGTGTTGGTTGCTGTTTATTATTATTTTTTTTAACCGCAATCGCCTCCGATGGAGATTTTAGATAAGTTAGGCCTATAATGACCCAGTATGACAACTGGTGGGTTGGTGGGTGGAGGGTTTGAACTTCAGGATACCGGTAGTTAAAAGTAATAGCTCAAAGTACCATTTTTAACTCCCAAAAGTCTCTGGACTTTAATCTTTGAGCCGTTGCTTGCCGATAAGATTCAGTAGGCTACTTAGCGCTTTAAACACTCAGTTACCAGCTATTAATAATGCTAATGACTTATAGATGGTATACACTTACAAATACAAAATAAGCATACAATTATAATTTCCAGGCATTGATATGGCGACACCACCTAGGTGCGTATTTTATCCCAAATATGAATGTAAAATCAGCTGTTATATAGCCAGAATCATTTATTTAAAGCCTGACAGTTAATTGTTTTTCCTACAGTTACCTAACAATGTACATGTTCTCTCACTGATTTGAGAAAGCAAAGTGGCCAATTCGCTCATCAGTGAGACAATGTTAACATTGTCTCACTCTAATTACTTTGTCTCACTCCAGATTTGCAACGTGAAGGCACGAAATAGTGAGCGCGTAACATGCAGGCAACGTCGTATGCGCGCGAAATACGTTGGCAGCACTGGCTGTAAATCAGCTGGTCAGCTGTTGTACTGTTGTATTTGTCACTTCACATTAAATGTTATATTAAAAGTTCACTTCTGTTTCTTCACCAATTTATTTGTTTTATGGTAACTGTAGGAAAAGTATAATGTGCAACTCAGTTCAAAGTACAATTGCCTCACTCGAGAAACCATTCCTCACTCGCCTACGGCTCGTGAGTAAGGATTTCTCTCGAGTGAGTCAATTGCTCACTTTTCTCACTAGTTGCACAAATAACTATTAGTTAACTGCAGCTGGTTGTCCAGATCAGGACAACAGCTCAGCTTGGTCGAGTTAGGCTGTTGCGAACTTAACTAGTAACTAGTGATCTTAACTAGTACCTATTAAGTTTGGTTATTCTTTGTATTAACCCTGACCACTCAAATTCCTTAAGGCAAAGGACTATGGACGGAGAGATCATGTATCATGCATGTATGTATGTAACTCAGCGACATCGGCAGTTTCATGCATTCTTTTAATTAAGGCGACATGGAGAAGTTCCGTTGCGTCACAATAATGCGGTGGGTTACTAACTTTAGAGCAACGGCTTCTGCGTTGAAAAGGAAGGTGAAAGAACGTCCAAAGTCAGATCGGACGCCAGACAACTAACATTCGATAGAGTTCGTGCTGCTGTGGAAAACGGTCCTTGCAGGCCCGCCTGAAAACAAGTGGCTGCTCAGTGCCCGAACATGTCTGACTGGTCAGTTATACAAATTTTGAGGTTAATTTTTATACCTACAGATTATTTAGAATTATAATCTCTTTAATTGTGTTATCCATACATATAATCACGACGGTACCCCTCCGTCGACCTAATAGAATAAAAGCACGGGACTGCCACTGGGTTGCAATGACTGATTAGGTAACTACTTTTTAAAAACGACGTGATGGCAACCGCACGTAGCTCATACAACCACTGTTTTATGACTACAAGAAATGGCATTGTATAGGCTATCCAACGAGCCTACTCCCACCCCCCTCAGACGGCCTGTCGCTGAACAGTGCGCTGAAGAAAATAGATCGGTTTTTTTGCCACACCCTGTATAAGACATGTTTAAACTGTTCCTAGACACCAACACTACAACTTTCTCAAATGTCTTTTTTGTTGCCAAGGCTTCCTGTAGACACCATGCCTAAATTACTAGACACCACCCTGAAAAACTCGCTTAAACATCGTGACAGGGCAGTTTCCTACTAGTAGACACCTCACCAAGATTACTAGACATTAAGCCCAGATTACTAGACACCATAACCTAGATTAACCTAACCTAACAGTAATCTGTGTGTGGTGTCTAGTAGGCTATAGTAAACTGCCCTGTCTGATGTTTAAGGGAGTTTTTCAGGGGTGGTGAGTACAGGAAGTCTCGGCGACAAAAAAGTCATTTGAGAAAGTTGTAGTGTTGGTGTCTAGGTACAGTTTAAAAACGTCTTATAGGACGTTCCAGGTGAGTTGGAGAATCAGAAATTATATTTAATTGTCAAAACCTTTTAAGTAAGTGACAGGATTGGTATGAACCTGGCAATAACTTAGCAATAAGTAGGGCCTAGTGCGCGCGCCTTATAAAATCTATTGCTGGCCTTTTTGTGGAAAAATACGGCCGCGTAGGTTATTACCGATAGTGTCACCTGATACAGGGCAAATTAACGGACACGAAAGTATCAATTTCATTTACCTGGGGACTAAGTTGGAGGGGGGGGGGGGTAAATGCAGCAATAAGTAGTGTGCTCGCCTTATAAAATCTATTGCTGGCCGTTTTGCAGAGAAATACGGCCGAGTAGGTTATTACCGATAGTTTCACCCGATAGAGGACACATTAACGGACACGACAGTATCAATATCATGTGCCTGGGGACTAAGTTAGGGGCGCCTTATAAAATCTGGCCATTTGCGGAAAAATAGCCCGAGTAGGTTATTACCGATAATGTCACCTCATATAGGACACACTAACTGACAAGACAGTATCAATATCATGTAGCCTTATAAAATCTATTGCTGGCCATTTGCGGAAAAATACAGCCGAGTAAGTTATTTACTGATAGTGCCACCTGATAGAGGACACACCAGTATCAATATCATGTACCTGGGGACTAAGTTAGGGGGGGGGGGTAAAGTCAGCAATAAATAGTGCCCACGCTTTATAAAATCTATTGCTGGCCATTTGCGGAAAAATGGCCCGAGTAGGTTATTACCGATGATGTCACCTCATAGAGGACACACTAACGGACACGACAGTATCAATATCATGTATCTGGGGACTAAGTTAGGGGGGATCTATTGCTGGCCATTTGCAGAAAAATACAGCCGAGTAGGTTATTACCGATAATGTTACCTCATAGAGGACACACTAACGGACAGGGCAGTATCAATCTCATTTATCTGGGGACTAAGTTTGGGGGGGGGGGGTAAAGTCAGCAATAAGTTCCGCAAACCGGCCTGCAATAGCTTTTATAAGGCGCGCACACTACTTATTGCTGAGTTATTGCTAGGTTCACACAAGTAGTGACAGCCTAGGCTTGAATAAGTTATTACTGATCTAGGGTCTCACCTCTAGAAAGTAGCCTCCTCAACATCTAACTTGTAATAAATTAAAGCTTTTAAATCCTAATGGTGGCAATTAATTGGCAATAAACAAACGAAGAACTTATGAAGGGGAACACTGATTGTCACAATTATCTATCATTGAATCACCATTCACTTCACAGAACAGAATGCTTTTCTTTTGTAGGTTATAATTACATGACTCTTAGGGAGGGCACAACAAGTTGCATAACTTTTGATTTCGTTCTACTCACTTTTAATTTGAGTTGCACAGTAGCCTATATAAAACAAGCTATAAAAAAATATTAGTTTAATTTCACAATGTATACGTTTAGATTATTTAAAAAAATATATAAAACTTATATTTATTTGACATTTTGGTGTTGTTGTTATTTACATATTTTAAATTTTTACACTCATCCTCATCCATCAATCAATTCAATTCAATTCCATCAAGACAGACCCAAGACCCAAGCATGAAGCAAAGAAAGAGTTTCGTTTCGACTATAAGTAGTTAGATTGGAGTCGAGGATCGCGGATCGCGGTCGACTTGGATTGGATCGACTAGCTGAAGCTACAGACTTGACTAGAGTGAATGGAGACTGGACTGGATCGATTGTAGACTGAACTGGAGTGAGCGGAGATTGGACTCCAGATGTATGGACTGGACGGATAGACTAGACAGACGTATTCTGCTAGTCAGTCTGTGTGCTGTCAGTCTGTCTGTCTATCCTCATCCTGTCGTCTGTTCTGTGTGTGTGCCGACTAGTCAAGGCAGTCAATCAGATATTGCACTGTAGGTTAAATGAAATGTCGTTTGCTTAATTTGTTGCTTTCATGCAAAGCAAACTAAAGCCTTGTTTTAGTAGACATTTTTAATTTTTGTATATTTAGTTTATTATAGAGGGATATTGTTATTAGTTAGCCTAGGGGCCGGTGTTATGGACGAAGATTTAGCTGCATCAATAGGAGCCGAAGATTCTCACATGTAAGGGCAATGTTATTAGAATTATTGTTTATTTATTTATAATTCCATCGGAAATAGGCATACACCAATTTACATTTCGATGCTTAAGATGGCTAATAACAGAATATTTAAGTAAGCTATCAAAAGTATCAAATATTTAACTTATGTAGGCCTAAGTAGGAGATATATCGGCTGCACTTTACTTTAGGTCCTACACTCATTTGAATGAAAATATCGATCGATATATCAATTAATCGATTGTTCCATTCGATATATCGTTTGGTTAGTTAGGTAAGAAAACCTAACCTAACTAACCAAACGATATATCGAATGAAAGAATTGAATAATCAATATTTTCATTCGAATGAGTGTAGGACCTAAAGTAAAGTGCAGCCGATAAGTCATAAGCCATTTATTCAGCCAAATCAACCAAATACAATTAGCGTTAGGTATGTCAAAACAAACTGGAGTAAAACTAAAATACACAACTTCTTAGGTAAGTTAGTCAACATTTGTAAAACTATTTAGAAGTTGTGACTACCAGCCAAAAAATCCCGGACACACTGTAATGGTACTTTATTTAAGAGCAATCTCTTCACAGCCCTCTTAAAAGTCTGGTGATCCTGCTCGGTCTTCAACGCCAGTTGGAGGCTGTTGTATAGCTGTGTATCGTTGTCCTGGAAATGATGTTGGAAGAATGAAGTGGAGTGCTTGGGGATGGGAATGTTGTGAGTATTTCGGAGTAAGTAACTGTGACAGGAAGCAACATCAAACATGTCAAGATTCTTTTTAACTAACGACAGTGTCTCTGTACATATTGGAGACACTGTCGTTAGTTAAAAACAATCTTGCGATGTTTGATGTTGCTTTGAGGTGAAGAGAGTGCTTTTAAATAAAGTATATTACAGTGTCCGGGTAATTTTGGCTGGTAGTCACAACTTGTAGATAGTTGTATAAATGTTAACTACCTAAGAAGATGTGTATTTTAGTTTTACTCCAGTTTATTTTAGTTTATTTTGACATAGCTAACGCTAATTGTATTTGGTTGATTTGGCTGAATAAATTATTTATGACTTATCTCCTACTTAGGCCTAAGTTAAATGTGAAGAGATGATAATATAAAAGGCTAATACTAACAAAAGAAAACTTAATACACTGTCGTAATAAATACAATGGTAAATCTTGATCCAGAAGACGTTCATGTATTTGACAAATTGTGGGTTGCAGCAATACACTTCACAGATCTTAGACTTTAATACTAATACTTTTTTATAAAATGGCGACCATTCATACTGTCGCTAAAGAAGACAACCAAAGAGCAGACTGTAACCCATTTCCAGGACCCATAAAACGAGGAATGGTGCTGTGTTGAAGGTAGTTCCCAGGGCCGGTTTAACCCATACGCGAACTACGCGGCCGCATATGGCGCCACGAAAAAGTGGCGCCGTGGCGCCAACGGAACAATTTTTTTACGTGAACAACATAATTTTGTTTATTTTCGCTCAGAGTTCAAGTATACCACAATAAAGGCATTTATTCTGTTTGTACCAACAGCACTTGAAAAATGTGTATATTTGTACAGCACTACAACTCAAGGCCTCAATGCCATTTGCAGTTTCGATTTTGTAGTGAGCTGACGCTCGGCAGCGTACGGCGCGGCTCCTGTGGGTTTCATTTCACGACTCACTCATACTCGAGATGACATAAGCAAGCTTGCAGCGCCAATTGTCACAACATGAAACTTCCCCCTCCCTTCCCACCCTTCTGACTCTTATCCTAGAACAGAGCACAACGTTGTATTGCACTCTTTAGTGTATTAGCGTATAGCGTGTATCGGTATCGTAATGGCGTTGTTTTGATGATTCATGATTGTTGATAAGTGAATGATTACGAGTGTTTTAAGTTTAATTTATAATTATAGTGCATTAAATAAGAAGAAAGTATAAACTGAATAAATGAGTAAAACATCTAGCGAGCCGATACTAAGAAAACAATGGCAGAAAAAAAGAAAACGTCTGGCACTTATTATAAATACCCCCGCCGCAGCAAACCTGCCGACTAAGCGAATTTCCATTTGTCTGAATTGATTTTCAGTTAAATATATTTTAATAACATTAGGTTTAACGAGTACCTAGGTTTGCTGCTACAAGGAAACTAATAAAGTGTGTTTTTGAGTAAAATATTGATAGCTTAGTACAAAATAAATAAATTTGCCAAGTTTGATCAAAATAATTATATCCATAAACAAGCAAACTACAACATTTGACAATATTCTCCATAAGAATAACATGGGAATTTTAAATTTACAATTTTTTTAATTTTCTCCGTTACTAATAATCGAACAAAAATACTTTTATATACTAAATTATTTGTTTTTTTATGCTCTTTAAAAAGGTCTAAAGAGAAATCGGGAAATTTTGTGTTTTGAGGGTCAAAAGTGAGAAAAACCAATTTTTACCCCATAAAACCCCGTTCCCATGGTCCGATCGTGCTGGTTAGCGAACTCATTCAAGTTTATCCCGCTTTACACCTTTAAACCAAATTTCATCAAAATCGGACAAAAATTACTCAAGTTATCGCGTTCACGGACGTATATATATATAAGTCTATATATATATATATATATATATATATATATATATATATATACATATATAAAAATTTGAACGAATGGTGTTTTTGGCCTCTGGGGACATCAAAATGAAAAAGTAAATCGGTCCCGGGTCTAGGTCTTACCGTGCCACCTACGGTAATAGCTACTTCCCTATAGGGAAATTCGCTAAAAGGGTAAGGCGAATTTGGAAGAGGAAGATACATGCTTCAATTAAAAACAAGATTTTTGTTTAAATCATCTGGTGGCGAGTCCAGTCAGCCCAAAGAAGTCATGTTTACCGTTTGTGATCAGCTGCTTGTTTTAATCTTTTCATGGAAAACAAAAATATAAACTTAATTACGTCATTGCCGTCTTCTATCGTGACGTCATGATTGACAAGCATTACGGCCTGTTTTTTTTTTTTAATGTGGCCTTGGTTTTGCTAAAGTTTATATGATGAGTAAAAGTGTAAAAATGTTAAGTTTCTGCGAATAATAAACAGTCTTTTATTGCAAGTATTCTTCTAACCTAAGCTTATAAAAAAGTTCTTCCCAAAATTATTGGGAAAAAATTCACAAATACGGTTATGTTATGTTATTGGAAATCCTAAGTGGCGCTGATTCGGGTGTTCGCTTAACTCCGAAAAATTCCTAGAACCGGCCCTGATAGTTCCTGCCAGCAAAGCCAAGCTCAAATAGATGCTGGTGCCTGGCTCGGTTTGGAATTCACAACTGGATCCTCTAAATGAAAGACCTCGAGGAAAGGGAACCCAGCTTCACAACCAAGAAATTTTATAAATCATCTGTGGACTGATTGTATTTGGTTTTAGTTATTTGTCCAATTTGATTAGTTTATGGTTACTAGATTGACGATGGAGATTCTCCAGAAGCTGGTTGTTGGTTTAGTATTACATTGGTTAGGTACCTCAGAAATCCTAATCCAGGAATCTAGCCTTTAACATTGACTGGCAACTTAAATTATGGGTAATTTAGTAAGTAGGCCTATTGTCGGTGGGAACTTAAAGCCTATGTAGCATTAGGTGATAGCCTATGTAATTCTAATTTATTTTTATTTAATTGTAGAAATGTCTCAAATGAGTCAAAAAATCAAAGTTCAGAAGTCACTGGAAGCAAGGCTGGGGAGAAGCGGAAGCAATGGGAAAATGGCTACGGTGGTGGCCGAAACTCAAAAAGAAGCAAGAAGCAGAGAGGTAAGTTATCATAATTACATTTCTTGTTTTTACCTTATTTTTTCCATTATGTGTTAGGCCTTAGGCCCTAAGTCAACCTTTTTTTTACAAATCCAATTCATTCACATAATATAATAGGTCCTAAGTCACGCCTAGTTATGTATTTGAAGCTGAATGTGAATCCAGCGCAGTTGTAGAATGCAGTGAAATGGTCTGTGTACGTAGGTTTGTTACTGGTTTAGACCAGCTGTTTCTTGGAGAAGAACTTTTTCCATTCTAAGTTCTCTCATCATGATCAACATGGTCCAGTTTCAACCATAAAGTTACCAAGTCAGGATAAAAGTTCTTAAATCAAACATAAGATATGTTCTCATTTTAATACTGCATTGAGTCTTCTTTAGTCAATAATTTGCAAACTAAACTATTCTGTGAAAATACCTAAGTACTTAACGAACCAACAGTGTATTTGTTCACTCAAACACCAGCAAATACAGAACTGTGACATTATAAACAGCCTTAATTTAAATTTTACATAAAAGTTATAGGTAGACCTACCTTATCAACCCTCACTTTTTCTAGGTATGAATAAAAACCGAGGCGTGACGTACAAAGTGGACAGAGAGCAAGAACTGTGTCCTCGGTTGATTGACAGACGGACAGATACTGATCCCAAATGTAACATGGACACCTGCAAATTTACACATGACTTGCAGCACTACTCATCAAACAAACTGCCAAGCCTCGGAGATGAGTGTTATGTTTTCAACACCAGAGGACATTGTCCTCGTGGACTTACTTGCAGGTTTGTTTATGTTACACTGACACTTGAAAGAGCTGACTGTAAAATCTACAGTTCTTGAAAATATCCATAAATGTTCTGTTCTCAGGTATTACAGTAGGTACTCATGTTTCTAATATTTTTGCTTAAAATACCTTTTAATAGATATTTGTTGAAACACTAAGATTTAGGCCTGTGGGTAATTTAAATTGTGATGTTACATACTGCGGCTTTGTATTTTTTCTGTTCATATGAAATTATACCAACATTTTTAATGCAAATTAAACAAACTTTTAAAATATCTATTCAAACATAAAATAGCCCAACACTTTTGTTTCCAGTAGCCTACTTAAGGTAACAAAAAAAAGGTAATAACTTGCCTTATATCTATACTTTTTGATAGGTAATTATGTACTCTCAATTTAAATATTCAATAACTTTGAACTAGGATCAATGTAAATCATAAGACCTTTTTACTAGACCTCTAAGTCGTTTAGGTGTAGCCATACAAAATTTTAATGGTCTATTCGGACTATTTTGGAAATTGCTGTTGTTTAAGCAGGTTACTATGTCTACCCTGTTTAGTTCGAACTAATTTTAGTCTAATGGATTTTTATGCTTGACTCTAAAATTTTGTTTTCACTGAAGGTTCAACTCGAAGCATGTTACTGCTGAAGGTCTAAACATTGTTAATGAAGCTCTCTACGCTGAATGGCAGGCAAACGTTAGCCTTCATACAGTAAACGGGCTTAACCACAGTGTACAATATGCCTTGAGGAAAAGAACATATAATTTTGACAAGTCAGAGAAGGTATTGGTTGAATTGAACAAGGGGATACAAGCAAATAAACAACAAACAAAAGACATAGAATGTGAACCTGTGCTAGAAACAAAACTTGAAGGTACTTCAAAACCTGCTGACGCCAAAGATGATAGGCCTAGTGAGTGTGTGGTAGACAAAACACTTGGGCCAACATTAAACAATGGCACTGCCAAATCTGAAGGTTCAGAGAAGAAAAAGGTAAGTAAGTCAGTTTTAAAATGTTAAATTTTAACCTCATATTTAAAGTAGTGGTCACCTATTTTTTATTGTATAAAAAGTGAATTAAAAATACAGTGTATGGACCCTAGAATATTTTAGTTGGGACCCCGAAAGCTAAGTAAACTGGACACAAACCTTCAGTTAACTTTCAATAAATGTGTTATTCTGTCTTAATCTCAATATAAGGTACAAAGAAGAAAAACTTAAATAATAACCAATTGAGACAAACAAAAACAACATATAAACATGTTGGTGTAGAAATGTTGCCTTATCAATTTAATACTGAACCTTGATACTTACTGCCTTGAAAAAGTCGTAATATTCATGGGAAGACCACCATTAAAAATCAAAATTTTGAAAACATAAATAAAACACCTGAAGATACCATAGATTAGTAGTACCATAGTACCTACAGACCAAATCTCATCAAAATTGGACCACAGGAAGTTGTGGTCTGTAGCTCTGTACACATCCACACACAGACATCACTTCAAAAACCAACCTCTTTTGGGTTCAGAGGGACCCAAAACGGATATATCCTCTCAAAACTCAAACTCGATAATTTTGACAAAAACAGTACTTTCTCCACCTACTCTATTTTTTGGGTTCAGGGGGACCCAAAACGGATATATCCACTCAAACTCAACAGTTTGGACAAAAACCATACTTTCTCCATATACTATATATAGGGGGAGAAAGTAAAAGGAAATAGAATTTTGACGCAAGCACATTCTTTGAGTGCTCGTCAACTCTATTATAATTTGAATAATATCACCTTCAGCTGGGGTGTCTACTAAGTATCTAAAAGACAATGATAGGGCCTATGTAATTACCCCAAAAAGCAAAACTTTGGCACTTTAAGCTCACAATTTTGGTACATAATACCATAATAGTAGGTAAGGAATGAAGATTTCTAGTGCATTTTATTAATGTGTAATTCCAACAACTTGTTTGCTCAGATAGACTGGAAGGACAAGCTGATTCTAGCTCCGTTGACCACGCTAGGTAACCTACCGTTCCGCCGTGTGTGTAAGGAGTTTGGAGCTGACGTGACGGTCAGTGAGATGGCGATGGCATCATGTTTGCTGCAGGGCAAACCCCAAGAGTGGGCTCTCACTAAGCGGCACGGATCTGAGGACATCTTTGGCGTTCAGGTAAATGAGAGTTTCAATGAAATTTAGTGTTCAAATTTTCATCAACTTTCGAGAAAACGGTGTCAGCTAATGCATGCAAGATAGCCTATTATGTGCGTACAGTGGAATTTAAGAAGGCTAATTATTCAAACGCTAACAATTTGAATTAGACATGTTTTTAGTAATTAAAGGTTTAAAAGTATAAAATTCACACTTAATTGAACAACTTTATCCAAAGCATATGTATTTAGTTCATTTTTAAAATGTTGCATTTCCTATTGAGACTAGACTTTTTTCGGCTTCTTTGGCTATAAAATGTTAAAATAACAAAAAATTCTGCGCAATGTACAGACAAAGCTATAATTTTGTTTACAGGCTACCCACATTATTTTGACACTGATTACTTAAGGACCGAGAGATTAATTCAAATAAAAGAAGTAATAAGGTAAATAAAATTAAGGTGGTTCCACTGTAGCTTATAGAAAACACTAAGTTACCTTATTTATTTGTAAATAGCGCTTTTTTCTGATTGGCAGGCTTCGTTGACAGAAAGATCAAGTTGATTAAAGTGTATTTTAAAATCAATATACTGTAGGCATATCGCTGGCTGAGAATGCAACTGTTTTATCTCCACTCTTGGTAATTTTGAGTTATCACAAAAGCAACTTTGTATATGTATGTAAGAAAATGTAATTATCTTTTCGCCGATTTAAAAGTTTATTTGAGTTAAATATGCATTCAAGAATGAAAATAACCTCATGCTAACTCAAAATGTTATTGGTTTAATATAAAAAAGTAGTTTTTTTAGTGATTGTTGGAGATGGAACAGTAGCATCCCGAATATTTTTGGGTCAACTGTTCCATCTCCATGCAACATTACAACAATGATCATCTTATATACTAAAAAACTTTTGCAAATCTTATGACAGCTAGCCTACTACTGGACCAAATATTATTAATATTATTGACCACTCTTATTTTTATGACTATATTCAGTTGAAACATAATTTAAATTATCAATCATAATATGCTACCATCCTGTAAATTGAGTATAAATATACAGTCTAACCTTGATATAACGAACCTCGATATAACGAATTCCTTGATATAACGAATTTTTTTTAATCCCCTAGAACTCTCCATAAGACACAATGTATATTTTACCTCTACATAACGAACAAACCATAAAAACGACCTTGATTTAACAAATTTTTTGTGATTTCGGCTAAAATAAGACACCTCAATATAACGAATTTGTCATTGTCAGAACCTCTATATTGCGAATTTAACCTCTGCATAACGAATTGTCTACGTCTTTCCCTCAATATAACAAATCCCCCACCCAATTATTGTTTTGGGAAAATCTGTTTATTTATCAAATGAAATGGAAAGGTCACGTCATCGCTTGCGCTAACATTCGTCTGCTCCGTTTTACATCTTTGTCTGCTGTCGATGCGCGCGCTATGTTGCAACTGAGAACTGAACTGATTTCATTTACTGAGGACTGATGACGACGTAATGTTTAGTAAGCTGTGTTTGTGATTGGGCGATATGGGATAACTATGGTGAATTGTACAATTTTTGGATAACGAGAAAACTAAGAAAGAATATAAAAACAAACCCAAAGAGAAAGAATAGCAACATCGTTATCTTAACATTCCATTTACGACTGTTTTTATTATCCTTAAGTTGGCTATGATTATATAGTTTTATAATGACTTATCTAATAATTTATTGTTTTCAATACGATTTGTTTCAACTAGCAACACCAATGCTATAGTTAATGATTATTATTGACATTCCTCTGTTGTGATAAATCAGTACTGTACTGTAAGTAGCCTACCGGCCTATCACGAGCAGTAGCTTACAAAACTTTCTACTGTTTTGTTTTGTTCTTTACATGGTTTATGACTACGCAATACAGTGTTTGGCTAGGTTTTAGGAGGGTTAGAACAAGCTGTGATTTTACACTTACAGTTTTTAACCTGTACCAAGGTCAATGCCATTGTCATGATTGCGCAATATTCAAGATCCCTCCCCTTTATTATGCCATGCCGGATAATTTAGGTTCTACTGTACAATGTAAACACTGTACTGTAAAGTATCGTAGCCTATGCTACTTTAATTGTATTTGAATGAGGTCAAATCCCGACCTATATTGACCGATGCTGGTTCTGAACCTCGACTTAGCGAAATTCCTGCAAACCTAACCTCTATATAACGAACCTCGTTTTAACAAAATCTTTGATATAACGAATATTCAGTTCGGTCCCTTCAGATTCGTTATACTGAGGTTGGACTGTATATATATATATATATATATATTTTTTTCATTACAACAACAAAATTATTTGGTATATGTAGTACTTTCTGCAAATTGGAAAGTATAGTCCTCCATCTAATATTCTAACATTCTAACATTCAAATGTAATGGTGTGTTTAACTTGGCTCACGCAAACTGAAGAATCTCTATGTAGGGAATATTTTATTACAAAATAATTAAGCTTAACTCTACTAAGACATTTTTATTTTTGATTAAAACTATTCACATTACAACTAAAAGTAGTTTCCAAAAAGTAAAAGTTGTTTGTAAATATGTTAAAGGTGTGTGGAGGCAATACCAACGTAATGACCCGCTGTGCCCAACTACTACAAGAGCAAACCAACATAGACTTCATAGATATTAATGTTGGCTGTCCTATAGACCTTGTATATAATCAGGTAATAATCTTTCCTATATATTTTTTTATAATTTTGTCAACTGACTGAAAACTCTTTTAAAATTGACAAACAAGTATTCTGACCATACTATACGCGCTTTAAGAAAAAGCTTAAACATTTTGCAAGATGACCCCTATCTTATCTTTTGAGCTTGGTTCAGATTAGTGCCATAGAGAATTTTGTAAATTCGCAAACTGGTTGATTTTTATTTTTACCGTTTTTGAAAAATTAACGAGGTGTTAACGTTAAAACTGTAGAGATATATAACTTATGTAGGGATATAAATTTGAATTTCGTATTTCGGTTTCTTAAGGGTGTACGTGCATTTGGTATTTTTCTCTAGATTTTTTGGTTTTTTATTTAGAATTTTAATGGTGATAAAATCCCATAAATTAACCAAAATTGAGGTTTTCTACAAAAATGGCTCAAATGATTTTGATAGAAATTTAGTATGTTACATATTTAACTTTAAATAAAACTGCTCAACCCCCAACACTGTAAAGATTCAGACGTTTTTGTAATTATTGTGACATTCCCCTAACATACCAATAGAATAACTACACTATACGTTTTTTATGTCACTTCTTTACATCCTATAGGACTGTAGGCACCAGCTGCAGCTGGGAATTGTTTTAAACATTACTTGGGGGTTACTGCATTATCACATATATAAAATGTATTAGTGGTTAGCAGGAGTTGGACCAGGGACCTCAAGCTCTGAAGCCCTATAGTACAGACCAGCTCGCTCCCCATATAGCCCCCTCCAGTTACCCAGTATAGTTAGTATACACTTTTTCCTCGTAAAAGTTGTATGTTCAAATATATTGTCCATCTAATGTGAGAAAGTATGTGTCAGTTTGCTGATACCGAATATTTTATTGTTTTACTTGTCTAACAGTCCCAGGCCAGTAAAAAGGTTAAATCCAATTTGAAGAATTTTCTAGAAATTATTTTTCATTATTCATTGACCCTCTGGCAGAGGGAATAGACTGTGTCTAGTTTAATACGACAAGCATACAAAACTAAAAACTTCACTCACACGTAAATTAAAACTGTACATTTACATGACCTGCTGCAAATAAATCAACAATGATAAAACCTGCTATTACAACATTTTCCGTTTCCCAGGGAGCTGGAAGTGGACTTCTGAACAAGAAGAAGGCATTGTTTTCCATTGTGAAGAGTATGAAGTCAGTGATTGACGTGCCTCTGTCAGTCAAGACACGGATAGGCGTGTACTCCAGCAAACCTGTGGCTCATACAATGATGAGAGATCTGGTAGACGCTGGAGCTGATGTAGTCATGGTCAGTTGACTCAATGTTAAACAGTGTGTTTGATATTACTGGCCTAAACCAGCTGCAGCAAAGTCAGAAAACACAAAAAATAATAAAAACACCATTGTAAATATGTCATGATAAAAAATAACATTAATAAAGTAAAAACACCACTTAAACTACTAACATGTAATAATCTCAACCCCTAATAACCTCTAATAACACAGATGGTCGGATATTCGAGAATCATCAGCATTTTATTGTTATTAAAAAGCTTATATCAGATGAATAGTTGTATGATTAGTATCTCATTCTTACATGCAATCAGCAAATATTACTCAACAATTTTTTTAGCTTGCTGTAAACACAAGTTTTTTTTTTTATATCAGGGATTTAGTATCTGCGAATCGGTAATTTTAATTTTGACCAAACTTCCATTTATTTTTATCTTTCAGTTTTTACTAGTTATTGGGTTCTGTACTCTTTCCTTTCCTTTAACCCTCCGAGTGTTAAGCGTCATCTGTTTATGTCTATTGTAGCGTAATCGACCCACAACAGACCCGCCGTGGTGTTATGCATCGCTTTAGCAACACACAAACATCGTTTACGCCGAAGGCTCTGGGACTGACTGAATCAGATTGAACTGGATTGAGATTGGTATCGTTGTTTTCGGCAGATTCTAAGCTTTCTCCTGATGTCTGTTTCTAGACGCTTTTCATTTTAGTTCCGAAAATATTGTAGCAGACAGATGACGTGCGTGTTTGTAAACAACTTGGTTAACCTCGCACCGATGACTGATGTGTTTTATTACGTTTATCATTGTTTTAGTGTTAAAAATAAAAATTAGTGATATACGTGGTGTATTATAAGAAGATTTAAGTGATTTTGAAGGGCTGGTTGATGATCCTGAAGAAGTAGGTAGTGATATTGAGTAAATTATCCCCCAGATTCCTAGCTATGGTTAGGCTATGCATTCTTAGCTAACGCTAAATGTATGAAATCTTCTTCACCCATAACTTATTTATTTGAAACCTACTTCCTTATATTATTATATTTTTGGGATCCTCATAAAATTTAGAACAAAGTGGCTATTTTAAAATACCTAAAATTATAAAAATTTATTGAGTGTAAACATAAATTTTTTTCATTTATTTTATAATTTTTGAGAAATGTTAACCCCACAAAAATTGTTGAGAATTTTTTTTTGTAATGTTTTATATATTACATTGAAGCCCATAATTTTCCAAACAAAAGGATATATAAAACAGTATACTTTAGAGCATAGCCACCTCTAATACAAGGCCGCGACGTTCGAACTGGCAACGCCGCACTCACCCGCCGCCTGAGTCCGGCACTCGTGCTAGGCTATAAACATCAATGAGAGTATTGCTGCTCTGTATCAATGAATCAAAGTATTTAAATTACATATTTTAATGGATTTTAGGGTATGGTAAAATAGACAAATTAGAATCTAGGTTTTTTTTTATTTAGTGAAAAATTGCAACATACCACAATATGTCTAAAACTAAAAATACTAGCATAATGTTTTTGGTTGCATTTATCGTATTGTAAGTACGATAAATGTGGAAATAGATGGACTTTACATATTTCCTTTGTTAATTTGATAATCTATACTATTATATAACAATCTCATGGTGTCTGTATATATGTGTGTTATTCAATATAATAAAAACTACTAGACTGACTGGGCTTAAATTTTACAAAATATAGCTACTATACCAAGAAAGGTAATACAGTAGGACTGACTAACTTATTGCCACTTCAATATTTGTAGAGACTTTGGGATTTGTAGAGACTAACATCTTACAATTTGTTCGAATAAAATTAATTTTCAATTTTCAATAGGAATATTATGTTTTAGTCTACCTGAGAAAACCATTAGTTAGCGACAACAAAATTTGAAGTTTTCATTTTGAAGGCATACTGACTATAAATAATTTATTTTCTTTGAATAATTACTAAGCAAAACGTTTTTCATTTTGTAAACGATTTCAGAAGCTAGGCCTCCATATGGCTTTCCACAATATTAATAGAATTGTTTTATCACATCAACATTCAGACTGGAGTCGGAGAATATGATGCTTTAGTTGTTAGATGGTGTAGTACATATTTTTTACTAGTAGGCCTACTTAACAGAAACACCGGTTCATTTCTTCGAAGTGCTGGTTATTTAAGTTATTTTAATCACTTAACAACAGCTTTTATCAATAGATAGACAAATAAACAAGGAAATAGTACGGCTTTCTCATACCTAAAACTCGCTTCTCGCGTGTATATTTACACGAATCATTGCCTTATTCTCACATTTTTTTACAAATTTAAGTTCATATTCGTGAAAATGTTTCACACAAAAACGAGAATTGTTTTAAGATGTCTAATTTGACCGAAGAATAGCAGGAAGCTATTGTTGCTTATGCGGCGGATCACGTAGAATCTTAGAACACTGTATGTATTATTCATTTTTAATTGAGCTTTCGTAATTATTCTTGCATCCAGGCACATCACATCTATCTGACATGCTGTAGTAACAAGTTCAATGTCGTTACTAATGATTAAGGGTATTAGAAACGTGATTATGTACGTCGAATACGCGACTCCTCCATTCACTGTAATGGTAAGGCAACCGCGCATCAAGACATGGATGCAACGTTGCCACTTTTTGCTCGCCGCGGCCTTGTATTAGAGGTGGCTGTGTTTAGAGTGTTTTTTAGTTTCTAAGATCCGCCCATTTATTGCGCAATCGCAGGGTTTTATTAAAATGTATCTTAGAAACTTAAAAACACTCTGAAGTATACTGTTTTATATATCATTTTGTTTGGAAAATTATGGGCTTCAGTGTAATATATAAAACATTACAAAAAAAATTCTCAACAATTTTTGTGGGGTTAACATTTCTCAAAAAATTTATGTTTACGCTCAATAAATTTTTATAATTTTAGGTCTACAAATATTTTAAAATAGCCACTTTGTTCTAAATTTTATGAGGATCCCAAAAATATCTATTATATTATTAAAGTGATACAATCAAATTTTATGTAAACTGTTAAGGTCATTTACCAAATAAAAATATAGGCATATGGCACATCAAAATGAAGCTTAGAGTGTGTAGATATGCCGAAAAGTATTGATATGGACGAATTTCTTAAGGGCTCTGCCCCACAGGCTGATTTCCAAAGGGCTACGCCTGGCATGCTTCCAATGTTTAAATGATTTAATTTAATTTTGTTAATGAAACAGCTGGTCAGTGCAATGAACTGGTGTTTGTTTATTTACTCGAATAAGATGTTTGTTTTGCTTTATGTAGATTGAGGAGGGTTATGTTTTGTTTGTGAGGTTGTATATGTTTTGTAAAGTATTGCTCAAAGTTTCGTTTTTTAATTTATATATTAAACTACATGTGAAGAGGCTGGACTAAAATTGAAGAAAATGGTAAAACATGTCATTCATGAAGCATCTATATGAAGCAATAATTGATGCTATTACAACACTGAGGTATGTTGTCATATTCTTAGGGATCTATTAACATCAAAAGTAGGGGTTTGAAAGTAAGTAGGTTTACACTTTTTAAATCAGTTTTATTTTCAAACTAAATCATAGAGTTGATGTATTTTAAAACACACATCAGCACCACTTTAATAGCTCTCTAGGTCACATTTTCTTCCCGTTGCAAAGCACGGGTATAGCAGCTTGTAATAATTTAAGGAAGTAGGTTTACAAATAAATAAGATATGGGTGATAATATGGTAATGTAACGGGTAACTGCACTGTGAATAATCACGTTCAAACATTCACTTAATCACACCAAACTGTAACCAAAACTACATGATAATTCAGTAAAATACGATGTAAGTTAAATAAATAAATTCAACTAACTTACAGTATTACAAACAATTTGTTGTCAAGTCTTGCTAGGAAACTCTTTATTTATGAACCAGGCTTAGTTAACAGATGTTTAAATACAAATATAAAATTCCGGCTTTGCTCTGAATGTAATAAGTCCTGCTGTCTGTGGTTAAACTTAAAAACTATTTCAAAATACGTCCATACAGGGTGAGTTTTAATTGTCCCCCCCCCCCAAATTTTTTCTACATTTTTTCAAATATCAATCCCAGACCACTTCCAAACATTGTTGGGTAGTAAGTACTTCATTTTGACATTGTGGTCATTTCCGGCCGACATCTTGGATCCGCCATATTGGATGCAAAATATTTTTTTCAAATGTAAAGGTGGGGTTGTGACCCATTATTTCGAACTAGATTTTTACCCTGATTACAATGCCGCAAACCGTTTTTAAAAATCTAGATTCATTCTAAAGTTATGAGGCCTTTTAAAAACTTTATTTTTAGCCCATTTTAACATTGTGCTTGTACAAACTAAGACCATAATCTCAAAATAGTGCTAGATAAAGATAAGTATACACTACCAGTCATTGCCAACCTATTTCCACTTGGTTATGAATGATGTATTTTTTCGGCCGCCATCTTGGATCCGCCATTTTGAAATGTGATAAATTATTTTTAATATAAAAGGGGTGTTGTGACCCATCATTTCGGATTACTTTTTTAAGCTGAACTCAATTCCATGGTCCATTTTTTATTTTCATATTTTAATTTTGAAATATTAACATTTTAAACAAAAATATTGCAATAATTCATAAATAAAACTTGATAACAAAAAATGGATTGCGGCATTGTGTTTAGCTTAAAAATGTAGTTCAAAATGATGGGTCACAACACACCCTTCATATTTAAAATAGTTTATCCCATTTCAAAATGGCGGATCCAAGATGGCGGCCGAAAAAAATGCATCAGTCATAAATAAGTGAAAATAGGTTTACAATAACTGGTAGTGTATACTTATCTTTATCTAGCACTATTTTGAGATTATGATCTTAGTTTGTAAATGCACAATGTTAAAATGGGCTAAAAATAAAGTTTTAAAAAGGCCTCATAACTTTAGAATGAATCAAGATTTTTTAAAACGGTTTGCGGCATTGTAATCAGGGTAAAAATCTAGTTCGAAATAATGGGTCACAACCCCACCTTTACATTTGAAAAAAATATTTTGCATCCAATATGGCGGATCCAAGATGGCGGCCAGAAATGAACACCTTGTCAAAATGAAGTACTTACTACCCAACAATGTTTGGAAGTGGTCTGGGATTGATATTTGAAAAAATGTAGAAAAAAGTTGGGGGGGGGACAATTAAAACTCACCCTGTATGTTTAGTTGTAAACAAAGGGAATTGAGTTTGATGGTTTGGTCTAATGTCAACAGATAGCGCCACCGTTCCCAAACTTTAGCCCTTAACTATACTTAAGTGATGCCCTTTCATAATATTCTGAGACGTATTTGCACATCTACGTGAAAATACCTTTAATTTGACACCTCAAACGTTAAAATCCGTCAAGTTGTTATCGAGTTATGACTGTGAAAAGAAAACTGCTTGCGTATTAATATATAGATTACTTACTAGCTGAACCCGGCAGACGTTGTCTTGCCTTTGACTAGTTATAATTTAAGTACCGTAACGTTTAATTGTCTTATTGTATATGAAGTGTTTATAACTAAATTAAAATACGTACGACAACTAATGAAACACATATAGTACAAAGGATAACCGATTCTTTATTATTGCTCTTATATTAATGCTAGTGGGTAGACAATATTTTTGGTCTTTCTATTCGGCTCAATCATGTCCTGGTTGAAGTTCGTTCGCTACGCTCACTCACCTTTAGGTTGGAGCTCGTTCGCTACGCTCACTTACCTTTAGGTTGGAGCTCGTTCGCTGCGCTCACTTGCCTTCAGGTTAGCTCGTTCGCTACGCTCACTTGCCTTCAGGTTAGCTCGTTCACTACGCTAACTCGCCTCCATGTTGAAGTTCGTTCGCTATGCTCACTCACCTTTTGGTTGCAAATTAGCTGTTGTCATAAATGTAAAAGAAATAATAGTGCTGCTGCACCCTGTTGGTAATCCTTGTAACTTTAATGCTATTGAACATCATAGAACAGAACCAACTTGTTTAATTGAAACAGCTGTTAAGATTAATTAATTCCATTTCTCATAACGTTAACATGGGAAACTCCAGAGCCACTGGGGCGGAGCCGATTGGACCGATCACGAAATTGATGGTGTATAAACCTATTCCATGAAATTCTACACGTATGTACCAAGTTTCGTGGCAATCAGTTCAGCGGTGTCTGAGTTTATCACTGCCAAACAAATATATATATATATATATACAAACATCCTCTTTTATACTTATAGATTAACCTCCCATTTTCCATTTCAATCCTAGTAGAACTTGTATTTAGGGTGGCTAGTTCAGGGTAGTTGTCATATTATGATATAAAAAAGTATTGTCCTTAGTAGGAAAAGCAAAGGCTGGTAAATATTGTGTTAATTAGGATAGCAAGGAAGGAGCGTAGTACCAATGAGACAAAAAATTCCCCCACCACTCTTTGCCTACTAATTACATACATTAAATGAGATTTCTAACAGCAATTTTTGAGGTGACAAAAAATTTACAAAAACAATAGTGGTGTGCGAAGGATTCTAATGCACTTCCCACTCGCCACTATACATTTATCTATGATCAAGGTTATCTTATGTTCAGGATAAGAAGCAAGTTGTGTTTTCAGGTGCATGGCAGATCCAAGGAGCAGAGGTATACTAAGCTGGCAGACTGGGAGTACATCGAGCAATGTGCTCAGGCGGCAGCTCCTACACCGTTGGTTGGTAATGGAGACATACTGTCCTATGAGGACTATGACTTAGTTAGGGTAAGTGTCTTGCCAACATTGACCATCTATAATAAATTTAAAAAAAATGTCATACAATAATAATAAGGCAAGAAATGGTATCTGATAAATGTTAAGTCACAGCAAGTTAGAATCAAGCTACGGGGAAAACTTCAAAATTGAGTTAATGCAGATTTAAAAGTTACTATTACAAGTAGTGACTAACCTAAACTAAAAGTCAAATCTCGACTATGTTGAATCACAAGAAAAGATACATGGGTGATTGATTGAGGTTCAATTAGCTAGACAGTAGAAAAAAATTAAATATGTCATATTTAGTTTGCCTACACCTTTTTTTTTGCCTGCGCAAACAACTTGTTATGTTTGTTCAAAGTAGTAAACATGGTAAAAGTGTAATGCGAGTACAGATTTTTAAACTAAAAAAAATTAACTTTTTTGTGAAATTGTTATTTTTTCTTTGTAGTTAAAATAAATTATTTAATGATAGAAATCACAATTTAGGTAAATTTTCACAACGTTGCTGTGATTGTGGGAAACGATGACGACGTTGGATTCGGATTCGAGATTTGAAATTCCGGTATTCAACCACTACTATTAACTATTTAAAAGTTGTAAATAGATTAATCTAATAGATTAATTAACATCTTCATGAGAGGAGAATGGGGTTTGAAAGAAGTCATAAACGTAAGCATAAACGTATGTAAAACTATTAATAGCTATTTAGTCTTACTATAAATTAGAGGTCTGTGGGCCGGAATTTTTACTTTGGATCTCATGGTAACAAATCTTCTCCTTTTGGTCTTGGGCTAAAATCGGGTTGCTTTGAAAAGTATTGGTTTTTAAAAATATGAATTGTGATTCTACAATTGGGTTATACAATATTATATAGCATCAATTGCTTTAAAATTGTTTACTAAAATTATAATTGTCCACTGACATGATGAAATTTTGAACATCTTCGGCAGTAACAGCAATATATGTTTTGTATGGTCACCTCAACTGAGTAGGACAGCCAGGATTCATAAACGAATTGTTGTATTTTAACATTCCTTAAGCCAATACTATATAGTGTTCCAATTTATATTTGTGTTTGGCTTTGTATTAGTGATCCGGAAGTGTTATCACTTGTTAGTGAACATAACATTGTATGTAACAGGAGAAGAGTCCGACGTGTGCAGCTGTGATGATTGGACGAGGAGCTCTCATCAAACCCTGGATCTTCACAGAGATCAAGGAGCGTAGACACTGGGACATCTCCAGCCAGGAGAGGCTCCAGATGTTACGCAGGTTTACCAACTACGGCCTGGAGCACTGGGGCAGTGACACTAAGGTGATAACACTAATTATCAAGTAGGGATTACAATTTATTGTATTCGAGAGTCAAATACAAATATCATATTTAGTTAACTTACCCTTTCCTTGAGCTACCATGATCTGAGCATTCATTCAAGAGGAAGGAAATTCAATATAATAAAATGGTACAAAAATATTTATGTTTTCTGGTGGGGTATACCAAAATGAAGAGAGTTTTCCAGGATGGGAATCACACAGTAATATCACAATCATGAAAAAATATGTCATGATGTAGACTATCCACGTTCGCAAAAGATCATAACAACATCAATGCTGTGATTTTTGCGTGGACAGATTGCAAATCATGACATTAGCCTATAAGTTTTGGATTATCTAAAATAAAGTAAAATCATGAGATCAATTTCAGTTTGTTTAGGTGGCCAATATGTTTTTCTTAAAATCTAAACAAATGGTTGAGATTCGGGATTTGATTTACTATAGTTTGAAAGATAAGAAATTCCTGTCCATAATGACTCAATCCATATCATAGGGTAAAGTGTATATAGTGTACTGAATTAAACCACTGTTTCCCACAGGGTTGTTTCGTAATAACGTTATTGTATAATCCCCCAGGGTGTGGAATCTACTCGTAAGTTCCTGCTAGAATGGTTGTCCTTCCTCTACCGCTACATGCCTGTAGGACTCATGGAGAAACCTCCCCAGAAGATGAATGAGAGAGTTCCTTTGTTTGAGGGGAGGGATGAGCTGGAATGTCTCATGGCCAGTCCTAACTCTACTGACTGGATCAAGATCAGGTAATGTCTTCTAAATCTTAAACCTCCCCAGAAGATGAATGAAAGAGTTTAGTAAAGGAGTGTCTCATGGCCAGTCCTAACTCTACTAGATTATTATGAGTTTTCCTTGCCACATTTCACAACTGCACTGCTAACATAGCAGATGATTGTAATCACTCACTTAGCTAATTTTTGTAATAACAACTCTAATAATAATGCAGACTCGCTGCTGCATTTTAAACATTTTTTTATGGCAAGGGTTTTAATAATTAGTTTAGTCCAACTTTGGATTTTACCTGTTGTGAACCAAGGCCACACTAAAAAAACAGGCCGTAATGCTCGCCAAGCATGACGTTACGATAGAAGACGGCTATGACGTATAAGTACTTATTTATTTATTTTCCAATGAAAGATTAAAACAAGCAGCTGATCACAAACGGCAAAATTACGTCATTGCCGTCTTCTATCGTGACGTCATGCTGGACGAGCATTACGGCCTGTTTTTTTAGTGTGGCCTTGTGTGAATGCAGAAAGTTATTTAGTCAAAATTAGCTTTGTTGGATTTGTGTTCTCAAAAGAACATTTTACTACGTGAGTTTTTGTTGTAGTGAGATGCTGCTTGGCCCAGTCCCTGATGGTTTCCAGTTCATACCCAAACACAAGGCGAATGCATGGAGTGCTACGTAAGACTGTTGAACTGTTTACATCCGTTGGAGACAGATAATACTTTTCTATCTTCTATCGATAAGGCATTCATACTCCACTTGTGATTGTTAACTGTCAATCAAATAAACTTTAAAAGACGTTTAAATACCAACTTTGTTTTATTTCATCATCAAAATCATCCAATGTAGGCTTTACAGGCAGTGGTAGGAATCCATTAATTATTTGTCAACCGTGATGGGTTTAGGCCAGTTCAGAATGCCAGTTCAGAACAAGGACAAAACATCTGGCTTTTACTCTAATTTAACAAAGATAAATCCTAAACAATATAATTCAAATAAATAACTTGAAGAAATTATTTTTCAATTAATACAACTTAACATCTGAAAATGCATGTTTTGTCATACTGCATCAAAAACTGCCGTTTTAAATACATGCGTTGCGGTCCAAAGTGGCTCTTTTACTCCCTTAGGAGTAAAAGTTAGCTGTTGTAAACTTCGATTGTATGAAAATGCAATCACATGTATTTTAAGTAGTTATGTATTGCAATGTATTGAAAGTAGTTGATATATTTAATCGGTTGAGGCTATTGTTGCATTGTTGTTAAAGGTTTGACATATTGATAGTATAATTTACACTAACACTATCGTAATAGACAAAATGATTGAATCACGTCGTTTTGAGAAGTTACCTTTACATGAAAAGTATTTTTGTTTTGTAACTTAGTTTAAATAATGGTACAATATGACAAAAATGGCTTAGTTCATCACACGGGAAAAAGGTGTCTGTTCAACCCATCTCATTTTGAAACTTGAGCTGGGGTCAAAAGAGTCACTTACGTCCTAGTGGTTATGAAATATACAATTTTTAAATTACTTAAGATACTAATTACTATCAGCTAGTATCTACAATTACAATATTTTAAAAAGTTGCTTTTTCAGAAGATATCTGGCTGAGAAAAAACATCTAGTTTTCCTTAGCAACAACACATGCAATCCAAATTAACATAGAAAATTAAAAATTCAATATGCCCTGTCCTTGTTCCGTTTTATCTGTGAGAACTCCCAAGAGTTTTCCCACTCAGTTTCCCTCTATTCCCATAACCCCTGCCAGCTCTAGGCCATGTTGTTCTCAATTTTCCCCCACTTGCTGCCTGCCTCGGCCACTGTACCCTGTCAACCCACGTCTCGTCTACGGAAGTCACCTGTCTCGACCACTGTACCCTGTCAACCCTTGTCTCGTCTACGGAAGTCACCTGTCTCGACCATGGGAAACTGTCTGTGGCCAACATCCATTCCAGGGGGACTTCAGACAACTCACATATTTCCAATATCCCTCCATATGTTGGACAGAGTGGTTGCGTTTGTATTTGATGTTCTTTTCAACTTACATCCTTCTACCTTTGCTAATGGCTGTGGGAAATTACTACATTGTCATGCAGGATGTAAGCAGAACGGGAATGATTATAAGTGCTCTTATTTTCACCTCGTATTTTGACCTTATCAGCAGTTACTGTCGCACTAGATACGAACTTTACAAACAGCATTTACAGCAGAGAAGCAACGGCCATTTTACCTTCATGCAGATCATCAGGGGCTATAGCACTTGCTATAATGAAGTGACTTTTGCTATTCAATAAATACTTGCAGCTTATTAGTGGTGCAACAAGAAAAAGCCATCTTACAAGTTATTACATTTCAGAAAACAATAGGAAATTTACAGTTAATAAATATTTGTAAATATTTTGCTATTTAATTTTTGAACAGTGCTTTTTAACTCCTTTAACCCTTTCAGTGCTATGCCAATAATTTGTATTTTGTAAGACTTTTTTGTTTGCCTTTCAATTCCATTACCTGTTGTTGAATTGTAGCTGTAATTGTTGTCACTATTTTATTAATTTAGTCTAATTTGGAATAATAAGATAATATCAAATATATAACAAATAAAAGTCTGGGTATTTGTAGTAAACATTAAATAAAACTTTGTTTTCTTTGTAAATTTCCAAGTTTTCTCATAAATTGTAATGTTCTGATAGCATTGTTTGAAACATTGAAACCAAAATCTCATAAAATCAAAGACATCTAGTTTACAATATAATATTGAATTTAACCTCGATTTAGTTTGATAAGGTTATATTATAATATAAATATAGCCATTTTAGGAAAAATACTTTTTTGCAGCAAAGCCTCAGTAACACAATTTATGATCACTGTTGTGGTTCAACTAAAAAATATCATCTAAATAGTCAGTGACTAACTAGTGCTGCTATCTAGTAACGCATTGAACAACTTGCTGTAGCGCTATCCGTTCGCAATCGTTGGCGTCAGCTTAAATACCGGTTTTTGACTCCTAAGTCTCCAAGCACAGATAGCTGAGGTGGCTAGGGCATGTGTCACGGCCAGTGGCATTCGTCTGCTCGGGTTGAATCCCGTCCTATGTGGCAAATAAAAATAATTTATGACCTGTGTGTTTGTAGCGATATAATACAACCACTGGGGCAAAGTGAGGTGTTCATAATCCTTGGTTTAGACATACACCTCGAATCATCGGATTGGGAAAATTTTTTAGCTAAGTGCTTTTAGATCTTCATGCTAAGAATCTAAAAGCCGTTTTGCTTCTTTTTGTTAAAATTACCTTCCTCTCTATAATACCCTTAGGTTTTTAAAATATATCCCTAAGAGATTTTAGTAGACGCCGATATATTGTTGCATGGCACTCTAAAGCTAGGGTTTCCAAGATCACGCCGTCAAGTGATAGCATACCACGAGAGGCATATGACAGAGATATATCTTAAACAGTCACTCAAATTAATTTGTTACTGAAAGTTATCTTATCAATTTCACTATCATCTAGCCGCTGAAGCAATATATTTGTATAGAACCATCAAGTACCACTCCCCAAATATAGATAAGCCAACAGTTAAACTGTGTGTTGTTTCCTGTGCCTTGTACTGGGGTAGTGCTATTAAAGTGCAGAGTATTTGTATTCACTAAATACTGTACAGGAGTCCTGGTCTAAGCTCATCATGGACCACCTCACCTACCCAATAGACGAATGTTATCTTTTCAGAACCAGTGGCTTCTGTCCCTATGGTGCCAACTGCAGGTAATCAATACCAGCAGTTACTAACACACAGATTGTTAATATATAACACACATATTATCCGTTTAGTTGTATATAAATTGTCATTTAGGTTATGTTTTTCCTTTATTTAGGTTATGTTATTTGCTTATGCAAATGCCAACAGTGAAATCAGCTGATTTAGCAACCGAGAATGATTAAAGCGGAAATGACTTTTGCCGCTCGCTAAATCAGCTGATTTCACAGTTGGCATTTCTAAAAAACACTCACAACCAGGAAGCAAAACATAACCTAAATGACATATTATATACCAGTACAGCTAAAAAGTTAATCTGTGTGATGTAATGAGTTATGGTGGTAAGAAAATATCTTAGGTGTATTACGAGCACAAATAGTCATTGCTCAGCTAAAGTTTTGTGCGACCATAGTTCTCGAGCGGCAATGACGTACTTTACGCTCATAATATTAATATATAAAGTACTGGGGCACTGAGCCTTGCTAGTTAATTGGGTTTAATTGTTAAAATATCGTAAACACTAAACATATATTTTATACAAACAACTATTAAACAAAATCATATTAGTTTCAAAAAGGCTTCTGACAACGGTTTTTCACTTTTTTGCCACTACTTTTAAAGAAATTGAGAATCTGTCTCTTTTTTCATTGAGATTCAGGATATGGTATAGTAGTTTTATGCCAATTAAAAACCCAGATGTAATTAGTTTACTTGAAATGCCTCAGTACTTTGGGGATTAAGTTTTGGTGGGATAGGGCTAAGAAAAAAAACCAGTATTTGTTCGTAACTATTTCCGCCTATATCGAGTAATCAGTGTAATCTTTGCTCAATAGTTACAACTGATGTCTTTTCCTTTGTACTGTATTTTGTAATTTGCTAGTGTAATGTGGATAGCTTGTTATAAACACATGTGACAATTGTTTTGTTTACTTTTTCCTCGATATTTTGTTCAACCAACACAGTTACATACTTGGGTACCCATAAGGCCAATGTTAATTTTTTTTTTCAAATGAGTTGTGTAGGGAAATACGAATTTTCCTGAGGTAGTGGCCGTTTAGTGGCTGTCGCTAATCACGTTTTTAAGACTAAAAGTCCCTAACTCCAAAATTTAGTCAACATTTTTCTGCTGGATTTCGAGAAATAAAAGCCCATATTACAGACAGACAAACAGACATAGCTCATATTAGAGTGTAGGATACCTACTAAACAACTAAACAGAAATCACAATAAATAATAAGACCTGTTAGAAAGTGTCCAACCCCGCCTTGGTGTACTGCCTTTTGTCAGTGTACACAGTAAAATCACAAAAATATGTAATCGTACAAAAAACATTACATTTTAAATGAATAAGCTTAGAATATCGATACAGTTTTACTTAAAGTTGTAATCTTTTTAATGAAGAAAAGATATTTTATCACTCATGATTCAAAATATAGGTATTACTTTTTATTTATACACTATGCATGGGATTAAAACAGTCAATATTGTTGTATGTTGTGATTTGGGTTAGTTAATTGATGTAATAATTAATTATTTTCAGTATGTCTTTTTTCTGCTATTTTCATATTGTTTATTGTTAGTCTAAGCAAACTAAAAAAACTGACACAGGGAACGTGAAAAAAATTGCAAGAAAAGTTTTATGGTTTTATTTTGTAGTGTTGGGTCTGCAGAGTGACATACTAAAAGTTGCCAAAAATTGGTCCACAAGAAACCTCCTAAAATAACGATAAAAAATTGCGGCTTTTCCCAACATTGGACAAATTTGAAAAAAAGATACCACATGCATTTTTTATTCGAAATTTTTTGAGATATTGACTTGGGACGACCATCGATGTTTATTGGGTGGTTAGTACTTCATTTCGATAGGGAACTCATTTTTGGCCGCCATCTTGGATCCACCATCTGGATATAAGTAACAAAAATTAAATGTAATGATAACGTTGTGACACATCATTATAAACTAGATTTTCACGCTGATTTCAATGCCAAAATCCGTTTTTAAATATCTGTTTACGTTTTGATGATATATTCAAACGAAAATTCTCCCCCATACATTT